GCTGACATTTCATGATTTGTCCTGGTGTTCTCATTTTCAGATATTTAACCGAAACATCATTGCATGTGCGTAAAACATAGGATTTTGTGGGTGTTTCAACACTACCCTATGCTTTCCTAATTCTCTGGTTGTCAGCTTAGCCATGGAGTTCCGAGCACCACGTGCCCAAAACCCGAGCGAAAAGCACGTCGCATGCTTTAAGTCTCCAGGCTTTTTGCGCGCTTGCGACTTCCTAATAGGCTTAGGAGCTTCGTGGGCGAGGGTTCGGGCTTTGGGGGCTAAGGTTTAGGATCTCACTACGAGGGTCCGGGAGCATTATAGGGTAGGGTCTTAGATTCAGGGGGCGGGTGGCTTTTGGACTCAGGCGTGTCTCAGTTACGAAGTGGAGGTCCTGAGAATACAGATGCCATTACTGGGGCGGTGTATTGAATTTTGGATTTGCGGTTTCGGGTTTAAGCTGTCCTGCGTTTCGGGATTTAGGGCTCGCGGCTTTAATTGTTTCGAAATTGAGGGTCAAAGGTTTCCTTGGGCCTGCTTAGCATGTAGTACCCGTAGAGTGTCTCTTCAAGGAACCATAAACCCAAAGGCTCCATGTGCCTACATAGTATATACTTGGGGCCTTAAAGTACCGACATAGTAACCCCTTTGAGGCCTATGTATATACGATACAGATACCGTAAACCTTAAACGCGAGACCCAATACCCTCAAGCCCAGGATAAATACAAGTTGTTTAGGCAAAACAAAACACAAATCACGGTTTAGGATTGAGGGTCTAGAGTTTAGGGTTTAGGGACACCCGCACAAAACTCCTGACCTGAAGCCCTAAACACTTTGTATAAGCCCTAAACCCTACACCCTAAAGGGGTCTACATTCTTACAGACAGCCAGGCATCTCCGAACGTCCCTGCCAGTCAAGGCACGATGTGGATCATCGGAGGGACGGCTCCAAACCTTAGAACTTTGTCATGGTTGGGTAACATTTTACATTTTTATGGGTACTTGAACCCAATAAGGAATAAACATGTACATTTTAAATCCTATCCCAACAATGAACTAGAGCGAGTCTGAAAACATCAAACTATAGTCTCCTTAGGAATTATTTTCTATTGTTGTTCATACAAAAGCCCAGGAATATGTTGAAAGGTATCTCCCAAAGCAGTATCTTCGACCCTTTGGGAAAGCCTGTCACGGGAACTGGAAGCACCTATTGTTGTAAGGGGCTGTACCCTGTGACTATGAAAGGGGTATAACCTGCGAGTTTTTAGGAACCCAAAAGAAGGCTGCACCCTTGCAACATGGACTCCAAACAGGGTCCTAATGTGGAGAACTTGCCACTGGTTTGCCCAAAACAGATGTTGACAAAAAGTCTGGGTACAGTGTGGACCTGAAAGGTTAGGGTCGTGGTTTACAGGGTTTCGGGTTTAGGCTTTGGGGCTTCGGGTACTTATGCCTCAACCAAAGGTTTCGTGTTGTGGTCCAGGGTTTAGGGTCTAGGGTTTTGGGTTTAAGGCTTTGGGGTTTAGGTTAAACCCGGAATCCCAAACCTAGACACCTAAACGCAAAAGTACTTGGGAGATTTGGGGGCTGTCACGCTATCCCGCTTTGAGGTCTCCGGTGTCGAGATCTAGACACATCCCTGGTGTAAGACATGTGTCTAGTTCATTGTGCAAGTGCAGGGCTGTCCTTCTCTCCTCTGTAGGATAATCAGTGATGTTTTTTCGGTTTCAAATTTAAGATTGAGCTTAGGGATATAAGAATACGCATATACGAATACTGCAAATAAGACTCATAAGAACTGCCAATAAGACTCATAAGAACAGTACTAATAATATTTGATAATGTTACAATAGTGATCATAGAAACAATATTGGAAGTAGTAAGAAGCAGTGCTTGGACCCAACATGCTTCGAAAGAGGCAGCGGGGGCTTTTGCGGGCCCTGCCAGAGGCGCACCAGGTGCGACCCCCCGCCATGCCATAGGTTTAGGGCTCCGGCAAAAGATGCCTGCATGCCCTAAGGCTCCATGCACCCATATAGTATATACGTAGGCCTTAAAGTACCTATATAGGGACCCCTTTAAGGCCACCCATATAGGGACCCCTTTAAGGCCTAAGTATCTACTATAAAGGTACATGGAGCCTTTGGCATACTTAGCAATACCATTCCGTGTCCGAATCCAGAATCCGGAATACTACTTCGTAGGGTTCCTTTTTCGCATAGCAACCACCTGAACCTTGTTGAAATTATTCGGGCTCTGTATGGGAGTTTCCGAAAATTAGGGTACCTTATTTGGGGTGCCTGATAATAAGGAGCCTACTACTTAGGGTATTATAGTAGGGTCCCCTGTTTTCGGAAACTCCCATATGACTCTACATCATGGACGCAGGCTTTAGTGAATTGTCTAGGGTTCTAAAGCTTTGGGTCGTGGAAGTTCAGGGATTTCAGGGCTTTCAGCTTGACGGCAGCGGAATTCAGGAGTTTGCTGCCAGGTTTTGGCATGTTGTCCGTGAATGGTATCGATTTGACATAGTTTTCAACTTCCCTAATTGGTTAGTATAGAGCCCTAAGTCTAAACAATTTCGGGGATTGTTGAAATCGACACTTAGTGTAAGTTCGGCAGATGGTGTCTAAGGCAGAAGCATTGCTGTCAACCCCTGCGTCTGGGTGTCATCCTGATGTAGGGGCCTGAATAGTTACCACTACTATTCCAAGAGGTTCCTTATTACAAGTGTAATATAGCATACCCCAGAATCCCATGCTAACCGCAAATGACCAAGGCCCTTATATTAGACCCACACCGCTGCTTGAAGGTTCAGGGGTTTTCGTAATTCTACTACTACTACTACTACTACTACGACTACGACTACGACTACGACTACGACTACGGCTTCTACTACTACTACTACTACTACGACTACTACTAGTATTGCTGCTATTACTATATGTAAATCATCTGCTTGGCAGAAGAGGCCTGAACCCCACAAAACTCAACTATAGCTAGGATGCCCAGTAGTACCCTTATTCCCTTTTTGTGGTCCTAGGTTCCTTATTAAGTTACCCGGCTCTATTTCCTTTTTGTGGTCCTAGGTGGTCCTAGGTTCCTTATTAAGTTACCCGGCTCTTGGTTTTAATATGGGCTAAATACATTTACTAGGATGCCCAGTAGTAACCTTATTCCCTTTTTGTGGTCCTAGGGCCCAATACCAGAAAGGGAGCCCTTTTTATTCCTAGGTTACTGGGCATCCTAGGTAGAGGCCTGAGCAGTTAGAAGTTGGTTTCAGTGTTCCTCAACCCTTCATGGGGACTTAGAAGACAAGTGTGGGTTACCTCAGGGTTTGGAGTTTAGGGTTATTGTACCTGTGTCTGCTTGGTCTTACAAGTGTCCTATCCTTGGCTGCGTCCGCATTTCACATGTAGAACAGACCTGAACCCCTAACCGTCGACTTCTTTAAGGTTCCGTAGTATGACTTCCTGATTCTACGACATCATTGCTGAAACTCTGAGGGTCTGTGTAGCCATGTAGTTCATACTTGGCCGACATAGGGAGTACTTCGGACCAAAGTATATTCCTGTTTGGGCACATGGACCCGTAAACACTAAACCCTAACGGTACCCGTGTAGAACCCAGAAAGGAAACTTAAACCAACCCATCAAAGGGTACATGGGTCCTGAAAGAGGAAGGGGTTTCGCGTTTTTGAGTCTTCAGTGCTTCAGATTCTTCTCTGAGTGGCTGCGTGCCGCACAGTGTAATAAAGGAGCATCGGGGTTCTAGACAGGATCTACAAGGAAATCATAAAGAGGGGTTTTAGGGCCGGTTTTAGGTCCTTTGCACCCGATGATTGGGTGCTTAGGTTTAGGAAAGTAGTTTTGTAGGTTAGTAATTGGAGCGTATATGATTGTGAGCATGTCGACCCTCACGGCAATGTTTGAGGTTTAGCAGAGTTCTTTTAGGATTCTATGTTGGTTCTGAGAAGGCCTTAGTACAGGGGCCTGAATAGTATTATTTAGAACAGGGCCTTGAAGCATATTAAATCAAGATACGCAACCCTAAACCCTAAACCCTATCAGGTAGTAACGAAACTGCCCAAGAGGCTTCTCATATACACTACTACTGTTGATGATAGAAATCCTGCATTACCTTAAGGACTCTAAACTATGGGAATTATGGTATATTCCTTATTATGGGTAATGCAGGATTTATATCATCAACCGTAGGATGCCGGTAGTACCCTTATTGCCTTATTGCCTTTTTGTAGTCCTTGGCTCCTTTTGAAGTTACCCAATACCAAAAAAGGAGCCCTTTTATTCCTAGGTTACTGGGCATCCTAGACTACTATTATGGAATTAGGTCCCAAAGACCATCCTTACTACGTATTGCTTTAGCGACAACATTCCATAATGGTAGTATATGGGGAGCCTCTAGGTAGAATGTAAACCTCTACTTGGAGGATCATGGGACTTAGTAAGTATGGTTATAAGTACCTTAATCGGGGCAAACTATCAGTATAGTTACTTGGAGGGGCAGGGGACTTAGTAAGTAGGGTTATAAGTAGGGTTATAATTGGGGTAACTCCATTTACGGTACATATAACTCTACTTATAACCATACTTACCAAATCCCCTGCCTCTCCAAGTACCTTAATAATAACCCTAGTTACTCAGTCCCATGACCCTTTAATTACAGCAGGACCAGGACAGCCTCTATGTTTCGGAGCTCAGACCATCAGCCACTGCCACATGGGCTCGAAGAATTCCGGGGGCCAATCAGAGGAGAGGGTTTAGGTTTTAGGGACCCGCAAGCCCCAAGCACCACCTTGTTCCAAAAACTTTGAGCAGCCAGCCTCAGAACTTGATCATTAATCCCAAACCCCACACTTCACAGCCACAAGACTCTACTCACTAGCGACCCCACTTTGAGTGGAGCCCAGTCACAAAGAAAATAGACAGTCCCGATTTTGCAAACATCGCGCATTGATTCCGCAGCATAGCGGAGTTTTGCCATGGTGCCCTCCCGCCTGTCCACAGCTCAGGGGAATGTTTATGGTGGTTAAGCTGGAATACTTGGAGGGGCAGGGGACTTAGTAAGTAGGTTATACGTAGGGCTATACTTGGGGTAACTCAATTTAGAGTACAAATATCCCTACTTATAACCTACTTACTGAGTCCCCTGCCCCTCCAAGTATTACAGGTGAGTTAAAGCCTCAAGAGGTTTCCATGTAAAGGGGTTCATGAAGGTTACTCTCACGGCTTTCAGGGGAACGAACTCTAGCATCCTTAACAATCAGAGGAGAGTTGGGGGATAATATTATCGTCTGGCTATGGAGGATTCAATTAGTAGTTCTTCACACTCCGATGATCGGTTCCTTTACGCTGCTGTACGGGATTGTTCGGGCTTTCAAGCGTGAGGGGTTTCTGTCTTCTCTCGAAGTACCGTGGGAGGTTCCACAAAATCAAAAGCCGTTTTGCCTTAATCCTCAACTGTCACAAGCCTGCATCTTTTCGACCGCACCAGATGTTGTGGCGTGATGGTAGTCGACTTCCCTCAATCCGTGTTCGAGACCATGGTGTCTGGGACCGGGTTATAGCAACAGGACTTTAGGGGTTTATGCAGCTACGGGTTCAGGGACTCATTTGTCTAAGGTATTCCAAGCCCGCGCGTTCTCTGACGGCCTTACGAAACCCTAAACCCTAAACCCTAGAACCCCTCAACCCTAAACCCCAAACCGTGCTTGAGGTAAGGAATCTCGGCCTTGGGATACCTTTTTCTGCGTGCTTGGGAACCCAACCGTACCAACCCAGAAGCAGACCCGCCAATACCAGGAACCCATAAGCCTTACCTAGCACATTTATGCCAAAGGTCAGGGAGTCTAGTGTCTTTTGTTCTGTTGCTTAGCCTACTTTGGTGTTTTCGTTAGGGTCTTATGCTATACCTGTGGTTAACAGAAAAGGTACTACTCTGGACCCTCGTAGTGAGATCCTCAACCTTAGCCCCCAAATCCCAAACCCCCACTCAGAAAGCCCCTGGAGCCTTAGGGTAGTCTTTAAACCTCTGAACTCCCAGAAAACCCCATGAGCCTCTTCGGAGCATTAGGGTACACTGGAGACTATAAGAAGACCTTGAACCCCAGATGTCGAGGCGATTCTGGTTTGCTGCTTCGCTGGTGCTAGCGTCACTGTCGAATCCCCGGAAATGCAGGGGTAATATAGGGGCCTTACCCTGAGGCTCCTAATAGGCTTGGGGGCTTTGTGGGCGAGGAGGTTGTAAGGATTAGGTATTTTGGAGTTTAATATAGGAGCCTTAATAATTACCTAGACTATTTTGGGTGCTCCTTATTAAATTTTAGTATAATGGGCCCCAAACCCTATTCTAATCTTTAAGGCCCTACATTATATGCTGAAAAAGGCAACTCAGAACCGTAGTATGGTTATGAGTTATGAGTGAGGTCCCTGTGTATTTAACCGTATTCAAGAAAGCTGATGATTGTTGGTTATGTCGGTTCAGTAGTGTTATTTGCCAATAGGGGTTGCTTAAGACTCAGGATTCCTGATTTTCAAGAGACCAGACTCCCCTCAACCCTAAACCCTACCTCATGCTGCATGCGCCAAGCAGGGTTCAGGTTTAGAGGGAACCACCACGCACGAAAGCTCAAAAGTCCTTAAATCTTAAGCCTTACATATCCGTGAGCCGGCCCCAAACCCAAAACCAACCCAAAACTATAAACCCGCAACAGTACACAAACAAGTCCTCAGATCCCTGGCAGAATCATTTGCTACCCTAATGCTCTTGGACCCTCGTAGTGAGATCCTAAACCTTAGCCCCAAAAGCCCAAACCCTAAACCCTAAACCCTAAAAAAAAGAAGCCCAAACCCTTGGCCACAAAGCCCCAGAGCCTACCAGGAGCCTTAGGGTAGTGCTTGAAGTTAGCATCCTAAGTTGTGTGCGCAGCCTTCGGGGACAGGGTAGGACTTTGATTAGGGACCCCAAAAGCACATAAGCATAAGCTATTTATAGGGATATCCGGACCTGATTGTGCGTCATTATCAGGGGGTTTTACATGGGATATCCCTATCCAAGTTTTTGCTTATGTGCTTTTTTGTGGCGCCCTATTTAAGTACAAACCTCGACTTGGTCGCGATGCTTGTAGCCGTAAGTACGACGTGCGCAGTCAGTTGCTCAGTCGCCTGGTTCAAGTAGGGTTTAGGGTTTAGGGTTTGGGGTTGGGGTTTAGGGTTTAGGGGTTTAGGGTTTAGGGTTTAGGGTTTAGGATATACACTTCAAGTAGATAGTAAGTCTGTCACCCCCGCACACCAGAAGACCCGATGACCTTTTGGAGCCTTATGCATCGTTATTTTGGCTTTGGGTTCAGGCCCCAATCTACAAAGCCCTATCACTAAACCCTATAAGCCCTCAACCTTTGAACCGCTTCCAGAGCTCTAGGTCTTCAGGGGTACCCAAAACTTCAACATGGAGGGCCCCTTAGTTAGGTTGGGGGTCAGGGTTTAGGGCATGTTGTGATTCGGAGGAACATGAGTATACCTTCTAGGTTCCTGAGTGGTACCCTTTTGCCATTTTCATGTTAGGCTCCCTTCATTAAGTAGGAACAAGGATACCCTTATTGTAGAGGGGCTACACAGCTTAGTTGCGGCAGAGTTGGGTGAGAGGCTGCTACGGTTCGGGGGCCTGGGGTTGTCATAACCCTAAGCGTCCATGCAGCCGAAGAGTATATGGGGGTTTTCGAAAATCGAGGAGGCTAATACAGTACCCTAAATAGTAGGACCTTATTGCAAGGACCCCCAAACCCTAAGTTTCGGAAACTCTAAACTCTAAACCCTAGACCTTTATAGAGCCCTTATAGATCCGTTTAAGGAAACCTTAAAAGGATCCTGTAAAGGTACCCTAAGGTACCGCTGATTTTCGATATGAGGACTACTTCCAGCGCCTGCGAGGCGGCTCCATCTGCTAGGGTTTCTGTCGCGGAGCCTTCTACTTCATCGGGTTTAGGGATTGGGGTTTAGGGTTTAGGGATTAGGGTTTAATTAGGGTTTAGGGTTTAGGGGTGGGGTGCCTGGAATGGGCTGACAGGCCGGTAGTCGAAGTCAGTCTGTGCTTGCGTGGTTGGAGTGCGACTTCGGCGTCTCGCCAGGCTGGCTCAGGAGCAAACATTCCAAGGGTAAAAGGAGGGACCCTTAATAAGGACCCCTAGGTATATACCCTTAATTGTAGCCAATGTATACCCATTATATAGCCCAGTATAGGGTAGGTCCCCATTAAGGGTCCCTCCTTTTACCCTTTGAAGCAGAGCAGAGCAAGCTCTGGTGGATTTTGTGTTCTCGGCCCGGGCACTCCGATCAAGACTGGTGCCTCCTGTTCGGCTTCACGGATGTGCAGCACCTCTGCTGCGAGCCGCAGATGCGCATTCAATCCCTGGCAGTGGACCTGGAGGATAACAAGCCGATAAAGGAGTTGCGAGACCGAATGGAGGAGCATCAGAAAGAAAAGCTCAGGCTCACGCTCGAGTCTCGGAAGGCTCAAGAAGCACTCACTGCAGCTCACGTCTTGGGTCTTCTTGTTGTTGCTGCTAGATGTTGCATGCAGGATTCGGAAGTACTTGCTGACGCACAACAGCCGCCAGCACGTGCCCTCGGGCTCTGGCCTGGGAGAGTACACCTAGTATATGGGCGCATCCTGATTTGGGGTCCTTGTAATCAGGATCCTACTATTTAGGGTACTACATTAGGGTCCCCTATTTTCGGAAAGTCCTACCCTAAATTAAGGAACATACCTTAAGCTAAAGGGGCCTAATATTGTGACTTAAGGTATATTCCTTATTTAAGGGGTATGGGGATCTCAGAGTACGTGCAGTAACTTTCAGTCAGCTTCCCCGAAGGTTCATAACATGTTGTGCATTAATGCTGTCGTATGCAGCATCTACATTCTAAACCCAAACCCCTAACCCTCGACTCCTACCCAATGCTCATGGACCCTCGTAGTGAGATCCTAAACCTTAGCCCCCGAAGCCCAAACCCTCGCCCACAAAGCCCCTAAGCCTACAAGGAGCCTTAGGGTAAACCCTAAACCCTAAACCCCTAAACCTCTAAACCCTAAACCCCTAAACCCCTAAACCTCTAAACCCTAAACCCCTAAACCCCTAAACCCCTAAACCCTAAACCCCTAAACCCCTAAACCCCTAGACCCTAAACCCCTAGACCCTAAACCCCTAAACCCTTAAACCCCAAACCCCTAAACCCTAAACCCTAAACCCCTAGACCCTAAACCCCTAAACCCCTGAACCCCTAAACCCCTAAAGGCTAAACGTCCTGAGCCGATGGACCGGAGGTCCTGGACCGCAGCACAGTCGACGCTGAAGTTGTCGGCCACTTTGACCATCGAGAAGAGTGACGACAAGGCACAAGTCCTAAGGGTCCAAGTGCCCAAATAATGAGAGATATAAGAACTACATCATGACATCATATGGGGGGTGAATAATTAGTCAGAGTGGGGTTCTGGGGTACATTACCGCACAGCTTGTCAGCTTTTTTTTGGGGGGGCGGAGATGTGGTTACTTACATTCAGGTCTCTACGCCAAACAGGGTTTGTTCACAAAGTTTGTGAACTCAGGTTTCAGGGTTGATGGGGTTGAGGAGGTGAGGTACTGATTTCGGTTGCTAGGGCCTCAACATTTTAGGGTTTGGATTTGTAGGTTTTTTGCAATGTGGGTCAGGCCTTACGTAGTCTAGGTTACGGCTCGACAGGCTTAGGAGCCCCGGCCAAAGATTTTCGAGTGCTGAGAAGTTTCTGATATCGTGCTTCGTGTGGTTTGAATTTGAATTCGGTCACCGGGCTTTCTGCGGCTTGTCAAAATGCTGTTGATAGGGGTTGGGTCTTGAGGGTTCACAGTAACTACGGCATCTGTATGTATGTATATCTTCACATACACATACATATACATATATATATATATATACACATACACATATATGTATATATACACATGTATATATATATATAGAGACAGGTTATATACACACACTTAGTTTTTTACAATTATGTTTGTGTATAGACACAGAGGTGTAGCTGCTTAGGGGAATAAGTTTATCGTAACATTGCGGCCAAGGAACTGGGCAGCCAGTACACAGTGCAACTAATTACTGAAGTATCTTCCGGGTGTGACAGTTCAGAGCGCATTCAGGGGGCTTGGGGCATAAGCAGTGTCGCTTTCAGTGGGGTTGTGTTTCTGTGGCTCCTGGACTCGAAGCTGCGGATTAGAATTAATACCCAGAGGCTCCAGGTGTAGCACCAATATGGAATATCCGGCCCCCAAAGCCATAAATATGGATGGTCTTTTAGGACCTACTTCCATAATGCTACTATACATGCAGCCTCTGGGATAGGGTTCCTTTACAGCTATCTTTTCAGAAGGGGTTACCCCTTTCTATCGCGGTTTCTGCCATTCGGGTGAGACCCCAAAGCCCCAAAGCCTTAAGCAGTGAACCGCGGAGACCCTCGAGATCCTAACCCTGAAGCCCTAAACCCTTAAGACAAACCATAGAAAAAAAGCAAACTCCTCAAAAGCTCCCCTGGGATGCCCAGTAGTACCCTTATTCCCTTTTTGTAGTCCTAGGTTCCCTATAAAGTTACCCAATACCAAAAAGAGAGGCCTTTTTATGCTTAGGTTACTGGGTATCCTAGTCCAAGAGAGCCCTAAGGTCTGTTTAGCCTACCCCCCTAACCCAAACCCTAGAGAAAAAGCGAACTCCCCCAAAGCTCCCCGAAGCGGTAACGCCTAATCCAAACCTCAAAGCAAAGACAAAATCCTTCAACTGTCCCAGAAACCGTAAACACTGGCGGGCCCAGGCGAAGAATAAAGCACAGACAAACTGACTCCTGAAACTGTCCCAGAAACCGTAACTAGGATGCCCAGTAGTACCCTTATTCCCTTTTTGTAGTCCTAGGTTCCTTATAAAGTTACCCAATACCAAAACGAGAGGCCTTTTTATGCTTAGGTTACTGGGTATCCTAGGTAAAAACCTGCGGGGGCCCAGGCGAAGACCAATGAGCAGGTGGTGCAGCTCCTCGCCCACGCAAAGGACTCCCAGCCATACCTTCCAAAACCCCTTAATTAAGGAATATACTTAAATTATAATAGGGTCCCTAATATGATTTAAGGTATATTCCTTAATTAAGGGATTTTGGAAGGTCTGGGCAGCTGCCTTTGCTCTTCTGTTTCTTACCTTTTAGGGTTCAGGGTTTAGGGGTTCTGGCTGCAGGGGTTCAGGGTTCAATGGAGGGAATATTAACTGTTGTTCAAGTTGAGGGTGAAATTTGAAATGGCTTATCGTCGCCAATTGGCGCAGTTGGGACGTTTCTGTTTTTAGCTTCAGGTTCGGTGAGGGTCTCATGGTGTGGTCTGAAGAATCAAACAAGTAACAGAATCCCATCTGCTCCCTGTTACAGTTATTCTTCAGGTTTGGGGTTCGGGGTGCAGGATTTCGGGTTTAAGGACAGTCGCACATCCAAAGGCCTTACCCTTCACAGCTTTAAAGCCTGTAAAAAATCACCTAGCCCTAAATTACTAAACCTAAACCCCAAATCCTAAACCCGGTGGCTCTAAATCCCCATTCGCAGGAGCAGAAGTTCGAGGGAAACGTGCAGCGATTCCTGGAGAACATGGTCCTGGACACAGATTTTGCGGGTTTGGGGTTTATGGGGTGTGGGGCTTTAAGCGGAGACTTACTTTATAATACATGGCTTCTATGGGAGGTTTGAGAGTTGGGGCTTGTTTCTAAGGGTCTACAGGGTTGAATTGAGGAGTTACGTTAGGGAGCGCTTCTATGGAAGGTTTTGAGGGGTCTAGGCTATGCATACTTGGAGGGTCATGGGACTTACTTCAAGTAAGTATGGTGAACAATTTGTTTTAAGGACCTCAATTAATTGGGATTATATGTAACTGTAGGCATGGTTACCCTATTAAGAGCCGTGGTGTCTAAATCCCATGATCCCTTAAGTAGGAGGAACCCACATGAGAGTTTAAGTTTTTTTTCAGAGGCGGAGCCGTTTCCGGCTCAGAGGCTAAGAGTGCCAAAGAGCTTAAGTTGCTAGGTAATACAAAGTATAGGGTTTCTATAATAGGAATTATTACTATTGTTTGGGCCAGAATCCCCCCCGTAATACTGTCAGAGACAGGGCCCGAATCGATTCTGCTTCAAGGTCCATTCTTTTTCAGGTCATGATCCTTCCCACCGCGGGCCCAGCTTGTCGAGATGGGCGGAGTGATGACTTAGACAAGGAGCCCCAGGACACCGAACGTGAAGAGGTAACAAGGCCGAAGAAATTCCTGGAATTACCCAGCTCCATTTGTAGGACCCGCGCCCCGCGCCCCATGGCACCCACTCACTGTCCGCAGATCCCCTGTGAGCCACATTCCACGCCCGATGTGGGGCTGCCCGATGACCTGAAATCACGGTTTGCACTGCCCGACGCTGCCCGAGAGCTGACGGCAGATGCGACGGCTGCAGCGGCACCTCTACGTCTTAAACCATTAAGGACCGCCAGCAGGATTGACATTATCCTGAGAGACCCAACCAGATGCATGATAATCACATCTCCACTCAGTGAACACCCTGAAACCCAAACCCGAAACTCAACTCCAAAACAGAAAGCCTATCGAGCCTACCCCCTCAACCTCAAAGCATAAATCCCGATCCCTTATCCCCAAGCAGCACAGCCGAAACCCCAAACCGATTCTGCCCTAAGCCCTACACAACTAGTCCTGGCTTTTTGATAGTGCCAGAGCTCAAGTAGGGTTTAGACATGTTCAGACTGTAGAGCTTTCAGGGTCTCCGGGCTCTAGAGTGTAAGTCTTACGGTTTAGGTTGTTGGGATTCAGAGTTAGGGTTTAGAGTTCAGGGTATTTCGGGGCGGCTCTAGCCTACACCTTCACCAACTCCTGCAATCAAAAACTATCCTGCGCTCTGAAATCTACCTTAAGGCTCCTGGACCCTTGTAGTGAGATCCTGCACCCTAGCACCCAAAGCCGAAACCCTCCCCCAGAAAGCCCCTAAGCCTATTAGGAGCCTTAGGGTAAACTCTAAACCTTAAACCCTAAACCCCTCAACCCAAGGCGAAACGTCCCAAGACCCTCTTTGGAGCCTTAGGGTAGTCCCAAAAAGGCCAAAGCGAATCCCAGGCCTTTCATGCTAGTTCTTTAGGGTTTAGGGTTTAGGGTTTGGGGTTTGGGGTTTAGGGTTTTAGGCTTTAGGCTTTAGGGTTTTAGGGTTTAGGGTTTAGGGTTTTAGGGTTTAGGCTTTAGGGTTTTAGGGTTTAGGCTTTAGGGTTTTAGGGTTTAGGGTTTAGGGTTTTAGGGTTTAGGGTTTTAGGGTTTAGGGTTTAGGGTTTAGGGTGTCTGACATTCCGGGGATGGGGGATGCTCGGGTACCGTAGCCATGGTATAGGGGAGGGTTAGGTCGGACTGAATGGTCCCTGCTTTCGATGTTCTACTATACCCCAAAACTCTGTAAGGGTTACTTCCCCTTACAGGGGTTCCCCTATGTATAGAACCCGAAACCCCAAACTCTAAGCCCTTAACCCTATATCGCAAACCAAAGATATTCAAGAATCATCGCAGCAGCCCAACGTCGTACTCAATACCTGGGACCTAGAGTAAGCCCTTATTCCCTTGTTGGTAGGGTTCAGGTTAGCCTATAAACCCCTTCAAACCGAAAAGGGCACCCTCTTTATTCCTAGGTTACTCTTAGGTCTAGAAGGTCATCAGAGCAGCCCAATGTCGTACTCAAGACGCGTTCGGAGGCGTTCAAAGATCCGTCGTTCAATCGATGCGGAAGCTCCAGGTTAAGTGTTGAGGGTTTATTGCAGATGAGGGTTTAGGGTTTAGTGCAGATTAGGGTTTACATAGGGTTTGGTAAACTTTAGGATTCAGGGTTAGGGTGTAGTGCAGTGTAGGGTTTAGGGTTTAGTAAACTTTAGGATTTCGAGTTTAGGGTGTAGTACAGTTTAGGGTTTAGGGTTTAGTAACATATCGGATTTAGGATTGAGGGTTTAGTCAAATTTAGGTTTTAGGATTTAGGAGCTCCGGAACACGACTCATGAGGTGCACCAACTCCAGAAAGTTATGGATGCTGCCAAGGCAAGGTCCTTTAATGTATTCCAGGATGCCCAGTAGTACCCTTATTCCCTTTTTGTAGTCCTAGGTTCCTCTTAAAGTTACCCAGTACCAAAACGGGAGCCCTTTTTATTCCTAGGTTACTGGGCATCCTAGTATTCAAGAGATTTTTTCAGGGCGCAGGCTGTTTGGGTTTGTTTTTGGTGAGATGTGGTTCCGCCGAGTTGATTAGGCCTGTTTCTTGTTAGGTGCTTCAGGGTAAACCCCAAGGGTCCAAAGGACCCAATAGTTAGGTATTCGGTTCTAGGATAAGTAGGTATGTAGGTTAGGATTCTGGAGAGTATATGATTATCGTGTGCTTGGATCCTTGGGGTTAAGGGTTTAGGGCCACTGAGGGGTTTTCGGCTTGAGGTTGCAGTTCCGGGCGTGCGTTTGCAGGGTCTTGTTGATCTATCTGAAGAGGTCTTTGGATCTTATCTTCCGACCCGGTTGCAAGCTTAAAGAGAAACTGCCGCGATGTCGAATCTTGGCGTTCTTCTGGTTGGCTCTTCGGACTTCAACTTTTGGGGGTTTCTATATGAGCTTTAATAAGCAGGCGAAAAGTTTGACTTTTACGAGGGGTCCAGAAGTCAGCCAAGGAATTGTTGTCATCATCCTCATCATTACCCTAAACCCCAGGCCCTAAACCCCAAACCCCAAACCCTAAACCCCAAACCCTAAGCCCTAAACCCCAAACCCTAAACCCTAAACCCCAAACCCCAAACCCCAAACCCTAAGCCCTAAACTCCAAGCCCTATGCCCTAAACCCTGAACGTCAGTTTAGGGATTCCAGACTTCATGGGAGTTCCCGAAAACGCGGGACCCAAATATAGCACCCTAAATAGTAGGATCCCTATTACCCTAGGGATCTAAGGACTCACATATTAAGGCTTTTGGGCCCAAAGACCATACTATGTAAGGCTTTTGGGCTATTTTGATCCCTAGGGTTATAAGGACCCTAAAATAAGGTACCCCTAATTTCGGAAACTCCCTCATCCTCACCTCAGGAAGTAAAGTTTGGACTCGCATCCCTCATTGAAGACTAGTTAGTAGTTATATTGTGGTGAGGTGTTCTTGGACGATCCGTACTTCGCGCTAGTTAATGCTAGTCGGAAGTTTTTACCCAGAGACCAGAGTTGCACAAGCCAGAGCCTAAAGCCTCATACTGCACTCCGAACCCTTATTGCAAGTATAAGCGGCTCTTATTCCGGAGAGCCCGTGTGTTCTAGAACTCGTTAAACGAACCCTAAACCCTAACCTCTAAACCCTAAACCCTGCACCCCTAAACCCTAAACCTTAACCGTTTATTAAACCATTATACCAAGTAACAGATCCACGGGTGCGACGAGCTGGTCTCCCTAGACCCCAAACCTTAAACCCGATACGGGAGTTTCCGAAAATAGGGGACCCAAATATAGCACCCTAAATAGTAAGATCCTTGTTATCGGGACCCCCAAAATAAGGTACCCCCCACATGTTCGGAAACTCTAAACCGTTTATAGATCCCTCATATTATAGATCCCTTTAAGGAACCTATTAAAGGGATCCCTTTCAAGGTACCCCTAATTTTGGAAACTCCCATACCAGGTGGTACCCTAAACCCTAAACCCCTAAACCCACACACCTAAACCCTAAACCCCTAAACCCGCATCCCAAACCCCCTAAACCCCTAAACCCACATCCCTAAACCCTATACCCACATCCCTAAACCCTAAACCCCTAAACCCACATCCCTAAACCCCTAAACCCACTTGCCTAACCCCTAAACCCCTAAACCCACATTCCTAAACCCTAAACCCACATCCCTAAACCCTAAACCCCAAAACCCACATCCCTAAACCCTAAACCCCTAAACCCCTAAACCCACATCCCTAAACCCCTAAAACCTAAACCCACATCTCTAAACCCTAAACCCCTAAACCCACATCCCTAAACCCCTAAACCCACATCCCTAAACCCCTAAACCCTAAACCCACATCCCTAAACGCCTAAACCCATCTAAACCCCTAGCCCCACATCCCTCAACCCTAAACCCCTAAACCCACATCCCTAAACCCCTAAACCCACCTAAACCCCTAGCCCCACATCCCTCAACCCTAAACCCCTAACCCCACATCCCCAAACCCTAAACCCCTAGACCCTAAACCCGATACCAGGTGGTGGAGGAGAAGAAGTCGACGGAAGTTCCCAAAGACTTCACTCCACCGAAATATCGGGTCAAGGCGACGGCTGTGACTGTTTAGCGTTTCGGAGTTATAGCCTTTTGGGTTTAGGGCCTAAGTTTAGGGTTTTTGCGTGTAGGTGTTACAAGATTGGGGTTTGGAATTTGGGTGTTCTAGGATATAGGACTTCTAGGGTGTATAGGTTGTATACGGTTAGGGTTGGGGTTTTAAGGTATTTGTTTGGGGGTGAGGGGTTGTTGGTTTTTGGATTTTAGGGTTTAGCTGATATGGGGTTTCTGCTGCTGCTGTCGCTGTTCTTGATTGTTGGGGGTTTTCGGCTTTTGTGGTTGACACATATGAACTGTAGTTTAGGGTCTTACTTGGAGAGGCAGGGGACTTAGTAAGTAGGTTATAAGTAGAGTTATAAGTACCCTAAATGGAGTTACCCCAATTACAACCTTACTTATAACCTACTTACTAAGTCCCCTGCCCGTCGAAGTAGGCTGCAGGGTGTATGTGGGGTTCAGGCTTTCTTTCAGTGTATTAGGGTTTAGGGTGCCAGAGGGTTCAGGCAATGTTGGTGGTTTAGGAATTTAAATAATGTGCGTGGCATTTGAGACTTTTCTGAAACCCTGCCATGTGGCGGGCTGTTGAACCCACTTCAAGCCTCGAGGACAGGATGAAGCCTTGGCGGTTTTATCATTCAAGATGGAAGACCCCGTAGATTATGGCGATGTTTATGTTTGGCTCTACAACGACTTCATCAAAGACCAGCAGTCAGTGGCAGTTTTGAGAAAGCAGAGCATTGTTCTTGACAAGGTCTTTGCGTCGGGTTTCCTTTGCAGTGAAGACGACCTAGCAAACACAAGATCCAAAGACATTGAAATAGCCTTCCTCGGCAACCCTCCCGAAGACAGAGATGACGGCATGATTCTTGAAGACTATGACTTGGAAAAAGAAGCGGAAGATTGGAAGAACTATTCCAGCCAACTTGTCCGAAGTGCTGACATTCTAACTACGAAAGAGGGGTTTGACGAAGCGGTCTATCAATACCTGTATGCTAAAATTTGGAACTAGCAAAGGGTCTTTCTAGCGTGAAATGTCCTGCATGAGCGGTTGCCTTGATTGTCAGTTGCCTGTCTCTTGCTTCTAAGCTTGTGAAAGACACTTTGAAAGCACCTTGTTTTGCTCATATAGCAGTGTCCAGTGTTGAAGCAATTCGCGAACCCCTCTTTCAAAGCAATGGCTTCCTCTTTCAAGGATGCAGGTTACAGTGGCTTTCGTGAGATTCCGATTGAAGAGTTGAGTGAGCAGTCCGACCACGGCAGTAGTTTTCCAATACCCAACCTTTAGAAGTTTGCTCTGCGTTCGTATGGTCCAGCAGCACTCTGTTACTTAAGCCTTGTATTTCTGTGGCTTAATGGCGAAGTAAGTATATAGATGCGTGATCGGCACACCCCTCCCCCGGGCCCCCCCCCCCCATACCCCCCCCATACCCCCCCATACTAAACCCTAAACCCTAAACCCCCCCCCGCCCCCCCCCAAGGTTTCGTTTCCTTTCAACACTACAGGAGGGCAAGAGGCATTCCTGCATGGCCCTGGGCCCATGAACCTAAAGCAAATAACTTAAACCCTTATACCCTTATAGTAAAAGCCGGAAAGTTGGAATATGATTATCCTAAACCCTTTATGGTAAATCATAGGGTATCCTACCCTGAAGCCATATTCCAACTTTCTGGAGTTCCCTTTATATAGGTCCTAAGCCCTAAACCATGGATCATTGCCAAGAGCTCGCCAGCAGTTTTCAGCTTGCCTTGAACGTTAAGCCTTAAGACCCAAACTCGATCTAGACCATGCATCCCAAACTCTCAAAAAACGTTCAGCAATCCTTAACCCAAGTGTCTGATTGCCGAATATTCAGGCACTTGGTTTGTTGAGCTCCCAGAACAAAGATTATGATGGGTCGATGTAGGGATCTTAAGAAGAGAGTTTCCGAAAATTAGGGGTACCTTATTTTGGGTCCTTATAGTAAGGATCCTACTATCTAGGGTATTATATTCGGGTCCCCAATTTTCGGAAACCCCCATATAAAGGTCGAAGAGGAGAGTGCTAAACCCTAAATCCTAAACATTTTGTCGCCAAGCGTTTCGCTTCGTGACAGTCCGCATGACCGATTGCATAAATCCTAAGCCCCTAAACCCTAAACCCCAAACCCCTAAACCCTTATCCAAGCCCCAAGTCAGTGGCTCCGGTCTCCAGGCAATGCCCAAGCTCAATGCCAAGAAGATCACGGCCGCGGGCTTCAGAAGCTTTCGCAGTCAGGGTCCAATAAGGGCTCTCTTCTTATTTATACAGGGTCCTACACACCTAGACTCCCCAACTATCCTCTAATATACCCTAGATACCCCCTATGAAACCCCACAGGGGCTCCATTATGGGGCACTTGGGGGGTCCTATATTGGATCCGAAAGGTCCGTAAGAAGGGGACCATACGGGTTCTTGTAAAGGTAAGCCAGACCCCACCCTCCAACAGTAAAGTTCAAGGACCCTAAGCCCTAAACCCCTACACCCCTAACCCTTAAGCCCTGCACCCCTAAACCCTAAACCTTAAACCCCTAAACCCTAAAGAGAACCCCGGCTGCCTGGAACTTCGTGTTTATGTTAGGGTCTGAGGGGCTCAAGGTTTACGGAAAAGGGTTAATGTGGTTCAAGATGCAAGATTAAAGTTTAGCGTCTAAGAGTTGTCTTTTCCGGATTTACGGTTTAGGGGGTTCGGGGTTTGGGTTTAGGTCTTGAGTCTTAGGCTGGGCACAACAGTAAGCTCGGGACTCACATTGGGGGTATGTGTACCGGTTCAGGTGCCATACAACACAAGGTCTTCGGATTATTATGAGCCTCAGTCCCCACCTTCTATATGGGTAGTTGTCAAAATTATGGTCCCCTTTTTGGGTACCCTAAATATTAGGTGCCGTACTATAATTGGGACCCACAAGGGGACCATAATTTTGACAACCACCCATATAGGGTTCCATGATAGGGTGTTAAGGGGCTTGGGGTTTTGCTGCAAACGTCGCAACAAGGGACTTAGAACTGCCTTTGATTTTGAGGGTTTGGGGCTAGGGTTTCCCTGACCAGAGTGTATAAGGTGGGCCTAAGCCTGAACATGCCCGAATAGCCATCGACATCCAATGCTTGTTTGGAGACTTCAAAGAGACCGTGCAGGCTGCAGAAGCTCCTCCCGGTAAGATAAAGCGAGCTGCTGCACACGATGGAATTCAGGATGCGGAGGCCTGTCCGGGATATCAGCAAATGGAAGTCACATGCGAACACTGCGAAGCTTCTGCACCGTGGCTTTTAGACTTGCTGCTGGTGCTTATACCTCGCCAAATGCAGAGGCCGGCATATGGTAGACATGCCGTCCGAAGGACGTCATGGCCAGTAAGTTGTAAGCAGAGTAGCAAGCAAACCTAGTTGCCCAATATCCAACCTGCAAACTCTTTGGCCTCTTGTAGGTTAGTAGTAATCGGAGTTTAACTTGTCATTTCTGCATCTTATTGGAGAAGGAAGACTATGCCCGAGAAATCGAAGAAGACAGAGTAGCCAACCCAAGTAGTAAGTTCCATGATCATCCCAAAACACAACAAGGAGATGGTGCAGAGACCCTAAACCCTAAACCAAACGGTTAACAACTGTCTTTGGCTGCAGTGTGCGCCCCTCTGGGTGGACCAGACACCGCATGCGCAGAAAGTCCGACACACTTTGAACAAGCCTATATAAACCCTTCAACCCTAAACCCTAACTCCTTGAGGTCAAGAAGATGACGGCAGTAGACTTGGCAAAGCGTCTCGATGAGGGCAAGGACCTTTCCTCTCTCCTAAAAGGTGCTTATTATCAGGTTTTAGGCTTTTGGACTTACTTGGAGGGTCATGGGACTTAGTAAGTATGGTTATACGTACCCTACCTGGAGCTATAAGTATGTAACAGTATTGCTATTTACCTTAATAGTGAGCGTAATTACTGCGAAGGTATCCGTAACGGCTACACGACCCTGTTGTGACATTCCGGAACTGGGGTTCAGAATTTATTTCAAGGCTCTAGATGTTTATGCTTGGACATAGGTGACTTGTCTTCAGGATTCCTTTACAAGCTGTCTTTCAAGCGTTGACCCCTTAACCCTAACCCTTTTGCCCTCATCCCTCAAAGACCCTTCCAGCGTATTCAGGGCGCAGAGTATCGACCTAAATGCTAATCCCTATTGAACCGTAGACCATACCCCTTAGTTAAGCCCTAAAGCTCTATCCCTACTTTAACCCCGAACCTAAACCTTAAGCCCCCCTAAACCCTAAACCCCGAACCCCTAAACCCCAAGCCCTCATGAAAGCCTGGTTTGGGATTTGGGATTTAAGCGTGGCAAGGCAGATAGGAGAACTGTCCTTGCCAGTTAAGGAAGAGCTTCTGTTACCCTTTAGGTTTAGGGTTTCAGGTTTATAGGGTTTAGGGTAGCTTTTAGGTTTATTCGGGGTTTAGGGTTTAGGCTTATTATTCAGGTTTGAAGTTTGGGGATGCAAGTAATTAAGGAGTTGAAGCACGCTACCCTTGTGAGCTTTGGAATCGGAAGGGACCTGCACTTAGGGAGCGAACTAAGCATTCTACACCTGTACATGCAGATACAATCGGCGCATGCATATTGTAGGTAGGTAGATAGGTGGGCAGGGATGTCTGCGTGCATGTATGTATGTTGTATGCATGCATGCATGTACCTAGACCGTTTTGGTGGTTCCTTATAATTGTCAATGTTGAGCAGAAAGCCTGACCTGTTCTGTGTTGCGGTAGAAGCGTGCGTCAGCTTGAAGCTTTCATTTGAACCACCGTTGTGCAGCATCGCGGCTCTCGGTGACGCAGCAAAAGGATCGGCCCACGTGCGTGCAGCCATGGAGGCCGTTTGAGCTTAGGCAGCGTTTTGCATTGGCAGGCGGAGCAGGGATGCAGCAGAATGCAGGCGCTGCGGCTCCGGCGCCTCAAGATGGCGGCGACGGTGATCCTCACGGCGGGGATCACGATTGGGCTTGGCAAGGCGGATGGCAATGGCAAGGGTGGCCTTGGCATGCGAGTAGCGATAGGTCATCGTGGAGCGGGAGCAGTTGGTGGCAGGGTCAATGGGAGAGACCGCATGCTAGGAATACTAGTTGGTGGTCCAATTGGCCAGGCTATCGACCGGAACAGCGTGATGCACAGCAGCGTGAACAGCAAGGTGATGGAAATCGTGAAGCTGAGCAACATGATCGCCCCGACGGAGGCAATCGGAGGGCTTCTGCTCAGTCGACTACCATTACTGATGAGAGTCTTGATCCTTCAGAAGAGCCTAAAGAGTCTAGTGATGCAGGGAGTGCCTCTACCAAGGGAGCACCGAAGACAGGGAAAGACCATGTGCCCGAGTATGACGGTAAGACGGCCATGCGGGAATATGCCCGAAGGGTCAAACTGTTTGAGAGCTCCACGGGCATTGATCCTTCCTACAGGGCTCAGAAGCTGATGGAGAAGTTGAGCGGCCAAGCATGGATGGCCACCGAAAGCCTCGACCTCGAGGACCTCAAACACCCCAATGGGGTGCAACGGTTACTTGATCACTTGTGGCAGGAGCTGGAGCCACTCGAACACCTCAGGACGTTCACTACCCTCGCCGAGTTCTACAAAGACTTCAGGAGAAGCCCGGGGGAAGAGTTTGTAGAGTTTGACATGAAGTTCCGTGCACATCTTAAGCGACTTGAAGAAGTGGGAGCCAAGCTGGAGGGTCTCAATGTTGCCTATTGGTTTCTTGAGAAATCTGGATTGTCGAGCGATTTAAGGAAACAGGTGGTAGCAGCTGCCAGCGGAGAATACGATTACCCTAAGTTGAGGAAGGCTTTGATGGCGATCGTCCCGAAAGTCAAGAAAGACGAGGAGCATGCTCCATCCGCAACCAGGCCTTTCAATCGACAGTGGAAACCTCGCAATAACCAGCCGCGGCAGGTGAATGCAACTACCGGTGAAGAAGAAGATCGACCAGATCCGGATGGCGAAGAAGCTGATGATCAGGTGGGACCCGAGGAACTTGAAGGTGAACTAGAGGTGCTGCTCACTCAAGCAGCTCGCAAACGTGCAGAAATAGAACGTGCTCGTGGGTTTTCCAAGCCTGAGTCGGCTACTGCCAGAGAAGCAAGGATCAAAGAGATGAAAAGCAAAATGCCCTGCAGCGCTTGCAAGGCGAACGGACCTACCGTTTATGGACATTGGCATGGGGATGCCGAATGTCCATTTCGGAGAGGTGCTGGAGCTGACAAGGACCGGTCTCGTGAGAAGAGTGTGTTGGCGGTGGTGGAAGAGGAGTTGAGCGATTCTGAGGATGATATTCTGGATCCACCGGCTTCATCTATCTTCCACTCCACGACCATCCTCGATGGCACGGAGCTACATGATGAGCATGATCACCAGGCCCCTCCTTATCATGTCTATAGCAATGGGGGAGAACCCGACCGAAATCGTCTCGCATTAAGTGATACATGCTGTGCCAGGACCGTCGCCGGAAAGAAGTGGGCTCAACGACACCTACGATACCTCCGGGCAAGGGGAGAGGACGTCTTCGTGATCAACGAGGCTCGTCCCTTCAGGTTCGGCGGAGGTCCCAGAGTCATGTCCGAGTATGCGGTGATCATGCCATTGATAGTGTTGGGTGCCTCAAGACTTGCTTGGATCAGAGTGAGCATTGTCGACCAGGATGTGCCCCTCCTACTGAGCAAGACCGCCTTGAAGATGCTGGGAATGGTCATGGACTTGGAAAAGAGCATGATTACCCTTCGTGAACTAGAGACCCAAGTGCATCTGAGGGAGACTCAAGCGGGTCTATGTGGCTTCGAGATCAATCTCGACCGGTCGGGACGCAGGTTGGAAGCACCTCCACAAGTGCTGATTGATACTGATCGGGAAGTAGTGCTGGAAGATGATGTCCCCGGTGATCAGGTCATGATGGTCAAGAAGATCCGCCCCGAGGTCCCCGACGGTGCTCAAGATAGGACCACTAGGGAATCAGTTGAACGATGTGAAGATCAAGCGCGGAAGCTGTATCGGGAGTGCGATTTTCGATACGAGTCCCTCCTTGAACTCGTCAGGCTACTTCCAATCCATCGGCGAGCACGGCATCGGGGAATCAATGGAAAACCAGGCCCGGTGAACGAAGCATGGGTTGCTGGACTGTTTGTCCATGGGAACCAGTCTGGGGTCACTAAGAGGACGAGTCGATATCCACATGTGGTTCGATACATCAATAGCTTCACGCGAGACAAAATTGCGGGAGCATGGTCTTCGTTCAGTCTCGCCAAGAACATTAGCACCGATGTACATGTCGACTGTCACAACCACAAGGAGGCTTCCTCCGTGACGGTGACCTTCGGCGACTTTACGGGAGGACAGCTCTGGGTTGCACAATCGGACGGTGAAGGTGGTGATTGCACGTGGAAGCAAGATAGACACGGAAGGACTATCCCCGGAACTTTGATCTCCACTTGCGAAACACCCTACTTGTTCAATCCTCAAGTTCCACATGCAACTCATGAATGGAGTGGCGAGAGATGGTGTCTGTCTATGTACACCGTGAGATGTGCTGATCAGGTCGATGAAGACACAAAGAAAGCACTGAAGAAGCTACGATTTCCCCTGAGCTCGAGGGGAACTTCCAGGACTTTGGGTGATGCAGTGCATGCAGTTCATGACATGTCGTCCCACCGAGAGCCGCATCAACATGAAGACGACGTGTCGCATGACATGAAATGCGCAAATACTCCGCAGCTGCTTGAAGAGTTCGGCGAGCCCGCGTGTTCAGTTGAGGGTAACCCTTCAGTCGGTGGTCCTCGGGATGTCGATGCTGGCGCCACAGCGGAAGGAGGAGTTTGTGGCGGCGATTGCGTCGCGCTCGAAGGTGACGAAGGAGGCCCTGCGCGAGCACAACCTCGATCGCTTGAAGGAGTTGTGGGGGGCGGTCCGTCCTCCGAAGAAGAGTGCCACCGGTCTTCCAGCCAACTGGAAAAAATTCGATCGCCCGGCGCTCAAGCACATCTACGCGACCCAGGTGGCGCCGGATTTGGGTCGGGACAACGACCTTCATTGGGACCGTTGGTCCAAGCCGACCTTGATCTTGGAGATAGAGATGTGGGCCGTAGATGCGGCCGAGGAACTCCAGCGCGACCGCGACCTGGAAACGGCCAGCACGGAGCCTCTGTGTCCCCAGTGTGGCATACCTATGATGGTCAGAACAAACAGAATGACTCGAGAGGACGTTTACGGCTGTCGCCGGTATCCAGCATGCAAGGAAACTCTACCTCTTCGTTACGACGGGCGCCCGACCCGCGAAGTGCAGAAGCAGATGGAGGCCTCCGAGCAGATCGCCAAGGCGAAGGAGAATCACAAGAAGTTGATGGCCAAGCAGGCAGCCAAGAGCAAACGCGTGGGAGAAATGGGCCGGGCTCTGTCATCTTCCGACGGCTCATGGGCGGTGGCAGGATCGATCCCGATCGAGGAAGTGAGCTCCTCGGAAGAGGAGAAGGACAAGAAGTACAACACGAACCTCACGAAGGAGGAGATGGCCATGATTGTCGCCATGAGGGACAAGAACCGCGGGTATCCCAAGGACACAGCAGCCTTCGGCGTGAAGATCGCCCCGAGGATTGAGCAGCGAAAGCTGCGCTCGAGTAGATATGACGACGCCGGATGACGAATCAGTTCCCCGACGACCTCTGTCGCCCAGTGAGATTGAAGAGAGAATCCTGTTAGGTAATTCCCGTAGGAGGGCGTTGAAGAAAGGGGTGATGAAGAGATTGTTGGGGAATGCTCGGGCCATTGTGGCTGGAGTACTTGTCACGACGGCTGCGCTAGCCGGGGCTGCGGCTAGTGCTGTACCAAGCTTTTCCCGGATGAGGCCCGATGTTCTTGAGATATGCGGCCAAGAAGCTGCTTTCACTAGCTCTTTCTCCCGCTGGGGTTGGCGTCATGTTGAACCGGTTCATCTGTCAAGTGACCTCTGTGATGAAGGGAATCGAGATAACATTAGCCGCTGGATCGATGAGTCGGCGCCTCGACTGGTCATTGTTTCCGACTGTTGTCCTCGGATCGTGTCGCCTGGGCGAGTTGGAGTGAAGGAGGCGCAGGCCATTAGGAGGCAACGAAAGAGAGAGGACAGAATCAAGCCAGTGTGTAATTTCCTGAAACACGTCATTGACATGCAGATAAAGAGAGGAGACCAAGCACTCGTGGAGCTCGCACTCCATGCTGCGCCTGAGGTTGCGGTTTTAGGTGACATCATGATTAGGCATCCGCATGTGAGACACATCCCAAGGTTTCCTCAGGATTGCAATCGAGATGCTCGTACAGGATGGCTGACTACGTGTGAGTTTATTGAGAAAGAGCTTGCTCAGATCAGAGATGAGGGGGCGAGAGATGAGAGCAGTCATCATGTGAGTTCGAGGAAATCGACTGTTGCGAAGGCCGTGTGTCGAGGTTTTACGCAGTATATCAAGGAACATGAGCCTGACAGGCTTAGGAGAATGCTCAGGAGTCTCGCGACACGGATCCGTGGAAAGCTCAGGAATGGTGATCGCCGGATATCTGACACCCGATGGAGTGAAAAGAACATTTTGAAAGCCTTAGGGAAATGGAGTGCCAGTGCGGTGTATGCGGTCGATCAACCTCACGAATCCGATGAAGAAATGATCCCTGATATCCAGGAGCCTGAACAGGTAAGGACGCGTGAAGCTGAAGAGGCAGGTTCCGAAATGCAGCCTGTGGAGCATGTCAGAAGACGTTTGGGTAGCCATGGCATAACCTTTGAGGTTCCTCCTGGGAGAAGAGTGAGTGAAGCTGTGAGGCAAGGGCTGATCAAAGCCCACTGCAACCTGGGACATCCTAGCAAAGAAGACTTCATTCGGTTCCTTAAACTTGGGGGGGCCAAACAAGAGGTTTTAGAGGCTGTCCCATGGATGAAATGCATGACATGCGCGCATGCTAGGCGTCCCAGTGCACATCGCACCACGAACATCCCACCATGTCAGGTGACTTTCGGAGACGAGGTTCAATTAGATTGTATATGTGTCCATGATAGTGCGAAGCAGGCCTACTGGTTCTTGTCGGTCATTGACAGGGCTACTTCATATCACATCGTGGAAATTCTCCGAGATCACTCACCTGAAGAGCTATACCGGGCATTCGACCGGGGATGGGCTCGTTGGGCAGGCCCGCCGATTAGGGCTACAGTTGACATGGAGGGTGGTTTTCAAGGACGCGAGTTTTGGGAACAAGTGTCTCAGGCGGGCACATGTCTGACAGCGATTGCAGGCACAGCTCACTGGCAAGCAGGAAAGGTTGAACGCCACAATCAGATTGTTAAGGACATGATCTTCAATGTGGTGAGGCAGACCAATGCTTTCGGTAGAGAGGAAATGCGGCGACTGACTAGGGAAGTGAGCTGGGCTAAGAACTCCTTGACGCGTGAGCATGGGTGGGCTCCTGTTGCACTGGTTTTCGGTAGAGAGCCTCGTGTCTTTGGCGAACTCCATCAAGATGGAAACCCCGCGGGATATCATCCTTCCGTAGGTGAGACCGGCAGCGATGTTGCAGTGCGCATGAGATATCGATATCATGCTAAAATGGAGTTCATCCGGAGTCAGGCTCGGCAGATGCTTCTGAAAACAGCTCACAACCGAACTCGGAAGATTCCTATTCCAAAAGTAGGACAGTTGGTGTTCTTCTGGAGAGAGGCGCGCGGCAAGAGGGGTGACAATCATAGTTCGTGGCATGGTCCTGGATATGTGGTAGGAATTCAAGATAGGAATGCCTGGGTCACCATCGGGGGACGGAGTTTTCTTGTCGCGGGGGAGCACCTTCGTGAAGCTGTTGGAGATGAGAAGCATTTTGGGAATCCCGAGATTCAGAAGGCCATTGCTCTTTTTCGGAAGATCCCGTCTGAAGCTACGTATGAGGACTTGATTGGACAGAAAGGTCCCGAGGGAGAACCGGGGGAAGTTGAACAGCAGCCGTTGGGTCAGGACCTGACTGAGAATCTTGATATGGAGGTGGATGCTATGGAGACGGAAGGTCTGAGCGCCGAACATGCCAGTATGGTTCCACAAGTCGGTTGGCATGTTGATCAACTTGGGAATCCTGTGCTTGTTTCCCATAAAGTGTGGGCGTTCAGGAGTCCCGAGCCTCGATACCCTGGAGAGCGTTTCCCTTACAGGACCACGTGGGCGTGTCATCAAGGACAGTGGAAGTGTCTTGAAAAGGAGGTCAAGTGGGCCGAGCTGGAGGATCATCATCAGTTCATTCCTGGAGGACCAGCGGCAGGCCTTATCACGATATTTCAGAGCCGAACCCGGAAAGAAATGTGCTTGGATGATGTTCCCCAAAATGTGAAGCGACAAAAGCGACAAGTGGGAGAAGCACCGGTGCATGCGGTTTCCTTCAAGAAGACAGAGAGCAAGACCAAACTCAAGCGTATGATGGAGAAAGAGATTCCGTATGATTGTATCCCGGCCGATCAAAGGGAAGTCTACAAGGCTGCTGAGGATAAAGAGTGGAAATCTTGGCTTGACTACGAGAGTTGTGAGATTCTTTCACTTGAAGAAAGCCGTAGGATAGAAAGGGAACGCCCTGATAGGATTCTTCCGAGCCGGTATGTCTTTCGAGATAAGAATGCTGGACTCCTCGGTCCCGACGGTCGACCATTGCCAGTCAAAGCTAAAGCTCGACTGTGTCTACAAGGACACTTATGTCCGGACAGTAAAACTGGTCTTGTGCAGGTCGACAGTCCGACAGTCGAGCGAGTCTCAACCATGATTTTTCTCCACTTGGTCACGAGTCTCGGATGGTCTCAGAACTGGTTTGTAGGAGATATATCGAATGCATTCTTGCAAGGAGCGCCCTTGAAGGACAAGCCAGACATGTTCATGAGACAACCGAAGCAAGGACTCAAGGGCATGGCACCAGGACAAATCATCAAGCTGTTAAAACCAGTTTATGGAAGGCCAGATGCACCACGAGCATGGTACGAGGAGCTGTCGCGGATTCTTCAGGAAGAACTGGGTTTTACGAAGTGTATGGTTGATCCTGCTATGTTTATGCTTCGGGATAGCCGGGGAGCTCTACGAGGCATCATGATTGTGCATGTCGACGATGTCATGTTTTGTCATGACGGCTCGGCATGGGGACATGAGGTTGCCGACAAGGTTCACGCTCGGTTTCCATTCGGCACTTGGTTGAAGGTTGCGGATCAGGAAAGCGGTATCACATACTGTGGCAAGGAGATTAAGATTAAGAAAAGGGACGGTGAGATCGGCGTGGTCCTTCCTCAGTCAGAATGCCTTTATCGATGGGAGACTCCAACCCATGGCGTTGAGCAACGAGAGAGTTAGGCAACCGGATGCACGAGCCACTGATGTTGAGAAGACGGATTACAGGTCTGTGGTAGGTAGCCTTCAATGGTTGGCGGTTCAGTCTAGGCCCGATGTTGCCTTTGAATGTAACCAACTGCAGAAACGAATATCCAATCTCAGGGTGGCGGACCTTGTTCGTGCAAACAAAGCTGTGCGAGAGGTCATACGGAACCGATTGGAGATTGAGTTTCGACCTCTCGGAGAAGATGCCGAACTAGTCACTTACCATGATGCGGGATTGTATAGCAGTGTTGGAGTGGAGATTGATGAGAGAGAGTGTGAGGACATTTTACAGAGGGGCAACGAGAAACGGCTTGTGTATTCTCAGAAGGGTGCTTGCATCGGCTTTGTTCGGAAGGGGGCTACTGATCACGAACAACATGCGCACATGAATCTGATCGATTGGAAGTCCTCTACGAATCGAAGAGTCGTCGAATCATCTTTTGCAGCGGAGACACATGCGGCGATCATGGGACACAACATGTCTAGGTTCGCTCAAGTTCTTCTCAGTGAGATACGATATGGATCAAAAGTTATCTCCGCTATCGAAGACGACGGATGGCAGCAGCTTGCTCCGGTCACGTTGGTCACTGATTGTAGAAGCATTTACGACACGATTCATAAAGATGGCCAACATGTCGGGGAGAAAGGGAACATTGTTCACGCTGTTCTTTTGAGACAGTTGCTGACGACCAGAGGTCGTGATAATCCTGGGAAGGCTAAGCTGCTTTGGGTTCCTACTCGGTGCCAGTTAGCGGATGGCTTCACCAAAGCCGGCAGGGGTAGTGACATCAGAGAGCAGCTTACCCGAGGGTTGTTGTTTCACGAAAGCGCGCTGAAGCGCAAGAATCCGCAGAAGCGAACAGGTCAGAGAGATGGTTATACCAGTGTCAATGTTGAGCAGAAAGCCTGACCTGTTCTGTGTTGCGGTAGAAGCGTGCGTCAGCTTGAAGCTTTCATTTGAACCACCGTTGTGCAGCATCGCGGCTCTCGGTGACGCAGCAAAAGGATCGGCCCACGTGCGTGCAGCCATGGAGGCCGTTTGAGCTTAGGCAGCGTTTTGCAATAATAATAACAATTAACTTTACTATAGTGTACACCAAAACCTCATTCTGATTATTAAGGTCCCTATATTAAAGAGCCCTTAGAGTATCCCTGAAAGTAACCCTTATAGACCCCTGAAAAGAAACCTTCATTGAGTATTAAAGTATATTAAAGTTCCTATATCACGGCAGGGAGCACTGGGCTCCGGATCCTTCACTCCGCCAAGGGTCCAAAGTGCCTATATAGTAGAATGTAAGGTTCTATATGAGGAATTACCCCTATCCCTCCAAGGACCTCATAGTTAGGGCCCTAGACCCCTTAAGGACCCCATAATAAGGTCCCTGGAGGCATAGGGTACTATTATGATTTGGGGAAGTACCTCCCATAACAGTACATAGGACCCCTTGGGCTCGCGGTTTGTTTTAGGGGAGCTTCTGCCTTGAGCCCTTCTCGCAGAGTGACGGCTCCCTGAGATTGCAATCATGTACAGGGCCACCCCCAAGCCCTTGAACCCCTAAACCCCCAAGCGCCTAAATTCCTAAACGCCTAAAGCATAAACCCCTAAACCCTAAATCAACAATCCTCAATCCCTGCAAGGATATCAACTTCAAGGAGCCCATGCTCATCACCAATGCGACGAGTCTGCCGGGCACTCAAGACAGGAACCAGGTAGGTCACAGAGGGTTTTGGGTTGAGGAGTGTAAGGTTAAGGTGCAGGGAACCAGCTAGGCACCGGGATTGTGCCAATTTTCCCTCTCGAGATGTTCTCAGAGTCTATTCGTTTAATCAGTTGTGATGTATACGTAAAGCTCCGTGGGATATCTAGGAACATAATAATTATGGTTGCAAGGGTGCTTAAGTCTTAAGAGTATCGTTTAGCGGCTCTATTGGGCCCATGCACCTTTAGAACATCCGTTTAAAGTGAATCCTGTCCTGTGCTCAGGGTGGATGATCCAGGTCTCCAAGGACATGACTTACCACCTGAGGCATCAGCAGACCGAGGATGGCTGGCTGAGGATCCGTGACCTTGCTCGGAAGTGCAAGACTAATGAGGAGACCAGTCCTTACTTGGAGGGGCAGGGGGCTTAGTAAGTAGGTTAGAAGTAGAGTTATAAGTACCCTAAATGGAGTTACCCTAATTATCGCCCTACTTAGAACTTATAGCCTGCTTACTAAGTCCCCTGCCCTTCCAAGTAGACCCGAACCCTAAACCCCATAGATCCCTAAAAGGAGGCCTTTAAGAACCCTTACTAAGTCCCATGCCCCTCCACGTAAGGCCCCTAAACCCCTTACCTATTCATCCCTTAAAGGAACCCGTAAGGATCCCTTATATTACCTTAAGGACCCTAAACTATGGGAATTGCAATATATTCCTTATTCCCTAATGCTCCTGGACCCTAGCCCCCAAAGCCCAAACCCTCGCCCACAAAGCCCCTAAGCCTATTAGGAGCCTTAGGGTTATGGGTAATGCAGGATGTATGGTTTTTGGTACCTAATAAGGCCCTGAAGTCCAATAATAGGGAGTGCTTCTGTTGATGATCTAAATCCTGCATTACCCATAAAAAGGAATATACCATAATTCCCATAGTTCAGGGTCCTTAAGGTAATGCAGGTTTTATATCATCAACCCGGCCCTAAGCCCTAAACCCTATAAATCCCTTAAAGGAAGCCCTTAAAGGTACCCCCCAGAGATCCCTTTAAGGGAACCCTAGGGATTTGTATCATCAACAGTAGGACCCTCTGGCAACCCCTAAACCCTAAACCCTAAACCCCTAAACCCTAAACCCTAAACCCTAAACCCCTAAACCCCCTAAACCCCTAAACCCCTAAACCCTAAATCCCTAAACCCCTAAACCCTAAATCCCTAAACCCTAAACCCCCTCTGGGAACCCCCTAGAGTCGGCTCGAGGTTCGCTCCTGGCGCCTGGGATGAGGCCCTTTTCTTGGCTGGCAAGCGCGCGGAAATGTTGGGCTTGTACTTAAAGGATCATGGGACTTAGTAACTAAGGCCATTATTAAGGTAGCTGTACTTATAATTACTTATACGCCCAATTAAGGCAATTACTTATATACTTACTAAGTCCCATGATCCTGCAAGTAGGGTTTAGTAGCTTGGGGTTTAGGGCTCTTTAAGGGATCTCTAGGGTTTATGGTGCAGGGTTTAGGAGTTTGAGGCTTAGGAAGTTTAGGGCTCTTTAAGGGATCTCCAGGGTTTAGGTTTAGGAGTTTGGGGTGTAGCGCGTGTCGCTGAAGTATGGGGTTTGTCGTGTTTATCGGCTTTATACGGCTTTGCTTTACGGTTTTAGGATTTGGGGGAGGCGAGTTCAGCTCATTTGTCGTAGTATGCTAAAGCCCTTAAACCATAAACCCTGAACCCCAGAAGTCCTGACGCCAAACCCTTAGTTAGTAGTCGCGGGGCTCTAGGGGTTTGGTTCGGGGCTTCTTCTGCTGTGGCCTGGATATGATTACTTGATATAGGGGCTTCAATTAATATTGGGGCTTCAGTTAGTTAGAACAGGATTTTGGTGTATAATGTACTATCAGTTTTAATAAGGACCCCCTGAAACCTAAGGCTCCTAGGGGTGTCAGGGGCCTTCTGGGGGAGGGTTTGGAGGGAATCGATCTAAGTCTGAAGTATTTACTGAATGGTACAGGAAGCCTTGGGGTTGGCTACTCTTCTGGGTGCAGCTTACGGTTTTAGGCCTTGGGGTTTAGAGTCTTACTTGGGATTTAGGCTGCGACTTGGTGTGTGGTCTAGAGTCTTGGATTTATGGCTTTGGGTCTAGGGCTTGGGGTTTAGGGTTTTGTTATATACCGCACAGAAAAGGGCCGACATGTGTTTGATTTGTTTACTTTCTATGTTGCGCTACACCGTCAAACCAGGTCAAACCACATAAGCAGAGCGGACCTTAGGTGGAGGTCTGCCCCCGTGGCAGACGAACTGCATTAAGTTCCACCCTTTTTTAAATATAAAGAATATGCCGTGAATCGTAACGTACCCTGTAGATCCTAAACCCCAAATCCCTAAGCCCTATATAACTCCCAAACCTAAACCTTGTCGGTTTCTGGTGACACAAGCACCCTACCCATACTCTCTATTGTAGTTCCGGATTTAGGATACCTTGTAGGATGCTACATATATACTGGGGTAAACCACAAGAACGGAACTACAATGGAGACTTTAAGTAGATCCTTTTTTCCATCAGGTCCGCCGGCATTGGACAGCGATGCGGATGATGGAGGATCCGTCTCTTGGCATCTTACTTGTGATTTGGGGATTCGGGGTTTCCGATAATAGGGGACCCGACTATAGTTCCCTAAGTACAAGGATCCTTATTATAAGGACCAACAACAATACGGTACCCCTGATTGTCGGACACTCCCGTTTTGGGTTTAGGTGTTTCGGGTTCAGGGTTTAGGGCCCCTGGAGAGAGGCACTAGGGTTCAGGGTGTAGGGTTTGGAGTTTTGGGTTTAGGGTTAGTGTTTAGGGTTTATGTCGACTTCTATAGGGTTTTGTATAGGAGTTCCATAGTTAGTTTGCGGGTGCTTCATGACAAGTTGTGTAGTGTTGTTTCGAAACCTCGTCTTCGGAGTACTCTATCGTGTGGACAGTAGTAGTCTGCAACAACCCATACGACGAGTACACCACTATGACAGCTCCAAATGCAGCCCTGAGTCGCTGCGCCAAGGGACTTGGAGAAGGAGTTTCGCATTGAGCCGCTCCCTCAGACCTTGGGCGAACGGTTCTGAGATACGTAGGTTTTGCTACTGGGAGCAACTTACGCTTTCAGGTTTCGTTCTCAGGGATCACTAGAGGGATCTCGAAGGAAGTTAGCATCCTGCGCAGTCGGTGTATACTTGCGCTGTTGTATCATGTAGTTACAAGCCTGAACACAGACCAGCACTATTCTTCGGGGTTCATTAACACCTTAGCTGTAGAAACGTTGATGCATTCTCCCTAGTTTGCGCAGCGGCCCATCATAGGCAGCAGTTCTGTTGACACCGGGCCATTTGAGCTGCCAGGTTTAGTGTGGAGGAGAGTAGGCTGGTTAGGCTTACTTCAATAGCCGGAGCTTTTGATTCCATGGATCCTTAGTGTCCATGAGATCCTGGAGTGCAGCCATGTACTGAATCATTAGCAATATGCTTCCTTCTAGCTCCTTTTTATAGTTACAGCATAATTATATAGCTCCCTTTCAGTAACCCTTATAGGTCCGCACAGGAACCCTATTCCAATTAAGAGTCTCAAGTTCCCAATAGTACTAGTTGTGTAAGTGCCTGAAAAATGTAAGGATCAGGATGGAGCAGTTTTGGAGTTTTGGGTTTAGGGTTTAGGTGGAGCGGTGAATCGTGATTTGTCACTCCAGGCTTCCCTTTCAAGAGTCCTGGAAGAGTTCCTTCACATCAAAATCGAACGGTTCAGGCTTTGGGGAGGGTGTCCTTTAAAGGGTCCTCTGCAGGTTCTTCCGAGAATTTCGAGACATGTTCTATAATTTTGTATACAGAACAGCTCCCTACATTCCCGAAGTATCGGTTTCAGGTACAGAGTAGGTTGGACACCCATGCCACGGAGGGTCCAGTACCCTAAACCCTAAACCCTGCAAACATGCGTGTCTCAGGTACCATACTGTACTCCCCTTCCGAGTATATGCGATGTTTCGGACATAAAGCCTTTTGCTCGGGTACACGGACCGTCTAGGACCTAGGATATCGAAGTTCATCATCGAATGGTCTGAAAGAGGGTCTTTGTAACCCATAGTCGTGGACATGAGGTATCTGTTCAGGTGTGTATAAACGTTAGGCTGTCATCATTCTGATGCTTTCAAAAAACTCGCCATAACAGAATATGCATCTCAACTCGAGATGTC